ACACATATGTTTTGCAATACTCACTAATTTTCAAACGTTTCCTTCGATATTTGCTCCTCTTTTTTTTTTTTTTTTTTTTTTGCATCTGCTTGTTATGCAATTGTAGATGCTATTGTGTATTGGAGGAGCTCCATTGCTTTACTTTATCTTCCCTTTTTTTGGCTTGTTATTCTTTGTGTCTGAACATGTTTTGAGTTCTGAATGATCATGATTGCCTACTGAGTTATTTAATAAAATGGTCTTTATGCATTTGTACAAAGCTCAATGAGTCACATTTTTTATATCTTCTATTGGTGATTCTTTCTCTTTTTTTTTTCTCGTGTACAATCCTGGTTTGTTCAGTTGGGATTAAAGGGGAATATGACCGTAGAGCACCCCATAGTCTTTTTATTTCTTTTTAGCTTATGTGATTGTGTGAGTTGGTGACAGAATTGCTATTACTCTCTATCTGGACAATTATGCACTTCTATGTTATATCAATGCTTTGGCTTTTCTCACTAAGATGAAATGTAGATCTTTTGAGAGTTTCTAGTATGTTACTGAGGAGGCGCTGAGAGATCTTAAGGTGGTCGGGAGAGAGATTGGTAATTCCTGTGTTGTTGAGTAATAGTTATTGTGTTTTAACATAAACTGATGAGAGTTAGAAATGAGAGGAGAGAGAGGGTATATTTTCGCTATTAAAAATAAAATAAAATTGTGCATTCCTTTGTTGGATCATTTATATAGAAACGAGGTTAAACTGAAATAAGAAAAGTTCCTCTTGCTAAAATTCGTTTGATTTAGCTAGTATAGATGAAAAAACCCTGTATACTTTCAGTACATAAGTGCCATCCTGTGTCTTTGGTGTGCTTTTATTTATTTTCCTCTCTGTACATTGTAGAGTTATGCTTTGAAACTACCTTAAAACTAAGGTTTAGTGTGGGTTCTTAAATAGATGTGTTAAATAACCTTTATTTGAAAGCAGAGCTCTATCTAGCTGGTTGAAGACAGGTGCTAAAGGTGACAAAATTGAAGGGATTTATGATGATAATGTCTGTTCTATTAAGTGATACATCTGCTCCTGATGGCGAAATTTTTTTAATTCCTTCCTGTATATGAAATTTCTGTTATTGAATTAAGTGCATTTTGGGGTTCCTAAAGGAGAAATGAAAATTTCCAAAGTTAATGACGTGTATGCTGTGTCTTTCATATGCACTTGTGCCTGAGCATTGGGGTGTGGTGGCGTTAATAGATGGTCTTGCAAAATCAAAGGTTATTATTGAACAAATGCTTGTTCCCGTAGTTCCATATTACCGTATTAACATGATACCCTTGAGGATTCAAGACTGTTGAAACCTAATGTGAACTAGGAATGGTGCATTTTCTATGGTAAGCAAGTGAGTGAATGTAGCAGTTGGTACAAAAGTTCATCTATCACATGGATCTTACTTCATGTTTTGTTTAAGGGGAAGAAAACTAGTTCATTTGATGAGAAGAGGTAATAATACATGAAGGTGCAAATTAGAGGACAGCATATTCTTAATCATGTTTATACGAAGGCTAAGACTTATGCTGCGGGATGCAATTGGATTGGTAAACTGGCTCAATTTTAACGTGAACTTTGTTATTTTAGCCCTATTCTGATTATAAGAGGTTATTAGATTTCCATAAACAAAAAAGGTTGGGTTTTTTTCTTCTCTCTTTATTATATGAACTACCAAATATTTAAAAAATTAAAAAAACAAAAACAAAACAAAATGGATTTGAATGGCGGCGCATGTTTCCTTTTCGACTTTTCCGATGATTTGGTTTCGCCTTGTATGGGTAGCACCAAAATAACAGCTCTTCTTCGTCTTCGTTTGCTTCGTCATGTCTTAATTTTCATATTACCAACCTTTCTGGTAGCTGTAGTTTTAGTTTGGAATGGGTATTCTTAAAATTTGGATTGGTTTTAAGTTGTTTGTGTAACTTCTTGCTAATTAAATTTGCCATAAAAAGTCATGATTTGGCTAATCTTTCCATCCGATAAAGTTCCCTGTTGCTGCTATTTTCCCCCTTCTCCTCCTAGGAATAAAATTATGTAGAATCTAAAAATAATGTATTCATGCTCTCCTCTTTCATTTATAAGACATTTCTAACATATTTTATATCAAAATTAGGGGAAAAAATTAAATATTGATAATTTTATCTTTAAATTTAATAATTTTTTTAATTTTATCTCTATTTAATATCTACTTTATATTTGAACAGCTTATGTTCATGAATAATAAATAAAGACATAATTAAATATTTATGTGAAAATTTTAATAGTAAACGCACTCCAACCAAAGCTTCAAGCTTTTACAACTTATTGGGATGAATGTCAAGTTGTCAACCACAGTTAAAACATATGGAGAGACTGAAAAAGAAAACAAAAAAAAGATGCAAAATGGATCTGAAAAACACTGGGATTTGATCATACAATAACATTGGATCCAAAATAACTTTATTAATTAAAAAAGAATATACACGCAAATTCCTGTGTATATTGTCTCTAGAGGAACAAAATTCTCTACTATACATCTTTGTGTATATTAACCCAATAAAAAATAACAACCGGAACAAATCAACAAAGAATCACAACCAATAACAGGTTATTATATGTGGAAGGAGGAGCTTAAAATGCAGTAACTATGGCTCTGTCAAATACTTTTCTTCCCTTCGCTTTCTCCCATTAGTTTTATAAAGCCCCAACCATCAACCTTTCACAACTAGAATCATTTCTCATTATTTGGAGTTGGCTTGACCACTAAGCCATGGGTGTTCTAAACAGTGTTGTGCAGTTGGCCGCTTCTCTGGGGAAAAATCCAGAAGTGGAGAAATAAATTCTGAGAACTCACGAGCATCACTCTCTGAAAATTTGTATTTATCAATCAAAATTTGTCAAGTGGCCAGAATTTTAGCCTCCTAATTCTTTTTAGATCCCCATGTCTGTCAAAGTAATCCTGGATTTCGCTCCACTGACGGCAACCTGCATTTTACAAGTATTAGGAATACCGGAATAGCTTCCAAGAACTACGCTAAGATAGTATAAATATGAACATTCACCTTCCGGGGCATCTTTCCAAGGAGTTCCATCATCAGGGCAAGGTGGTCCTGAAGTCAACACAATGCACGGCATTAATGCAGTCAGAACCAGTTTAATTTGCCATTTAAACTAAGAATTTGACAATAACTATTCCTTTTTCTTTTATGAACAAATCAAAGTATAATTCAAATTCCACATTTAAAGATGCTTGCACTCACTGCATGCTTATGGATTGTGTGAAATAACAATCAGCAGGGAAAAAAAGAAACTAAACGTCTATATAGTATGTGATGTCTGACTCCACGTTTAGTGGTGCAAGATGATCATGAGGTAGTTAAGTGGGGTAGTTCTCCCACCTCAATAGCTATTCAGAGAAGGGTCCCCACCCCACTTGGATGCCCATCATGTTCTATTTAGTATGTTAGCACTCAGCTTCCTCTCCTTGTGTACTCTAGGAGAAAGTGAGAGGATATGGGGTAGTTTTTAACTTAATCAATCTGTAAGTCAGTTTCTATTTGCTGGTTATTGTAAGTTTCTACTTTAATATTAGCCACTTATTGTTATCCAAACTATTTAAGACAATCATGTATCAGTTATCGTGATGTAATGGCAGTATTATTCAGACCAAACTTCTCCTTCTCTTCTTTCTAGAGTTACAGATTCTGGCTCTAGATAATATTCTATCCTACTCTATTTTCTTTGCTATTTTGGTACCCAACATAGTAACATATATTGAATCATTTTAGACAGGATTAAGCAATAAGACTCCACTGGTTTAAGGCCCTACAAAGCTATAACTCTCAAAATTAGCGAAGCCAGATATTTGTTATGTGATCATCTAACTACTATATTGCAGCAAACAAGTCCAAGCTACCAATCAGCCTATGCATAAACAATATCATAATTTCACTAAGCAGCTACTATTTCTTATGAACTAGAAAGTGCAAACCATATACCTCATCCTCACTAAAACCTTGTCCTGGCTTGGGAGTAAACATCATATCACCTGTGGCGAGCTCAAAAGCAATGCAAGCAAAAGACCACATGTCAACAGAGGAGGAGTACCCAGCCTGCAGTATAACTTCAGGAGCTCTGTACTGCCTCGTCTGGATTTCCTCTGCAAATGGCTTATCTGCCCAGCACGCATTTCCAAAATCAACTATCTTGCATTGCACATCAATTCCATCAACATTTCTATCAGATTTTGGAGCCTCTCCAGCTTCTCCTAAAGAAGTTCTTCCTGATATTTTAGCAACTGCTCTTCTGGCTCTCCTTTTCAACTTTTTCTCAATAACACTTGAAAATCCCATATTTATGCTTCCCTCAGGCCTCTCCAGAATCGGGCTTTGTCCAGATCTAACTGGGTCTTTGGCAGGATCAATGGTGGATAAGAGGAGGACATTTTCAGGTTTTAGGTCTGAGTGGATTATGCGAAGTTCGCTATGCAAGTAATCCAAACCAATCAAAATGCATTTACAAATTTCTCTAACTTTATTCATTGGAAGGCCTTTGTAACGTCTATATCTGATCAGACGAAGCAAGCTATCACCAAGGAACTCAAGGACCATGCAGTGGTGCTGCCCATTTGGGCCTGAATGCTTAAAGTTGTCAATCAATTGGACGACACACTTTGAATTTGAAGGGTCTCCCTCAGCAATGGATGAAAGAACATTTATCTCATGAAGGGCGGCCTCGGCAAACTGGGCTGCACTTTTCTGGATTTTGAGGGCAACATATGTCTGAAAACCACAAAATTCACATTAGAATATATTCGATGTAAAAAATACAGACTCAGATTGTTCTCTCTCTCTCTCTCTCTCTCTCTCTCTCTCTGCATTTCTTTTTTCTTTAGGCCCTTTCTCTCTACCAAATTCAAGCATTAATGTAAGTTCTACATCAAATAAAGTGGTTTGAGGTAGCAAAAGTAGCAAACCCATGACCCTGGTAATTGTTCGTTTTAAAGACTCTAAACACTCTGTTTTGCCTGATCCAAATTAGAATTCAGATTGACATCGTTGCCACATGCAGCTCACTGCATGCCTACCAACGAGAGTGGCCAATATAGGCCCTGAAGATTCCATTATTAAATTTTAGAATGAAGCAAAATAGAAATAAACAGTCTATAAGCATTGGACATGGATCCTCTACTGATGTTTCCAAGACAATCCAGATCTGTTGCTGCTGCAGAGCAGCAAAGAATCCAGATCCATAAGCATCATTGTGTCAGCATATAAGAAGCGTAAATGTGAAAACATCCGTGGTGACCATTGGCCGTTATATTCCAACAAGAAGAATTTGTATACTTGTGATACATCTTGACAACTACGTACACTAGTTGAGAAAGAAGGTACCGGAGTGTTCAGATGAAAACAAGATTTGCCAGTTAACGATATTGCCATCCCAAAACCAATGAATCTACATTCGATTAGTTTAATAGAGTGATATAATTAGGATAGAAAAGTTAATATAGAAATTTTGAAAATCTAAGGTAAGGACGAACCAAAGCATAGAAGCAGGGAGGAAAAAAAATGCTGAAATAAAATCTATCACAGATCAAAACACAATTTCTACGTAATTTGGACTATGGATCAATAGTTCAATAAAGTGTCGGTGGAAGATATGAAAGGAAGATCTTGGAACCTTCACCTTTAAAAAGGGAGGGGGGAAAAAAAAACAGAGCAAGTTATTGCCTTTGCCCAAATAAGAAGAATACCAATACATCAGCATCAAAATTATTCATAACTCTACTCCTATAGATTTAAAACAGATTGCATCAACAGGAAATGATGTGTAGAGTTTCGCATCTGGGACACGAATCATACGCCAAATCAATCAAAGATGACGGACAAGCGACTCAAGAAAATCTCCCTCTCTTTGAAGTAACTATTAGTAGGATACCAAATTCAGAAAATACAGTGTGGGAGATAAAAAAGCGAGGATCAAACATACAGAATTGCGAGTATCGTAAGCGAGCCAGACGGTGGAAAACTGACCCCACCCCAGCTTCCTCTGTGCTATGTACCTCCCACCGGCGAACTGATCGCCGACCCTGACGGCGTGGTAGCCTCCTTTTCTGTAGGAATCGAAGCCCTCATCCTCTTCCTCAGACCCGGATGACGATGAGCAAGACATCTCCTTTTACAAGTTTTCTTGGACTTGTTAATTTTCCGTTAAAAGTCTGATCTGAATCGAATTAAGAAATGATTTGACTATTGATTGAAATTGCTTGGACGTGGGATTTCTAGGACATGACCAAATTTGAAGCTTTGATTTGGGGGAAAGGAAATAAAGAAAGGAGAGAGAGAAAAGTGCCAATGTTTGTGAGGCGAGACAAGAGACGCTCTTCAATCTTTCCACTTTTTTCTCCACCTTCCTTCCTTCTTCGTTTCTCTGTCTCGTCTATGAATGCGGGTATTAAATTTACCGTACAAGCCTATTTTAAAATCACACATCAGGCATCTCTATATACTATAGCAATGGCCCTGTGCACAGCAATATATGTTGTGTCTGCTTTATTTGTATTATACATGTACTTATTTACACGAAGAAAGCGAACATTGGTATTATCCGAAGAAGAAAAAGAACATTAGACCATACTTGTTCTTAACCTTTGATGACCTATTTTGTGTGGTGGATCAATGGAGATATATTTGCTTTTCAAAAGTATTAAGATGAAGATGTTGGGAAATTGATTTTGAGTAGAATTGAAACGCAGACATAGACATAGGTTGTTTATGACATAACATGATTGAGGCTTGAAATCACGGCTTGAGAAAAATGAAGGTATTTGAACGATTTAATGCAACGATGACTTTGACCTTTAAAATTAATTTTTTTATGATATCCACGGAGGCATTTTTGACCAAACGTGTTTTGCAAACTCAAAATATTTTTAAAATGTCGAAATGTTTAATTATTTTTTATTGGAAATCATTATTTATTGAGCCATCAAATGTTTTTATCTTTATCATTTGAGTAATAAAATTTCAGTCTCCTCATCTTGCTCTGCGTGTAAACAAGTAGGTGTAGAATCATGAATAAAAGGTTGCTGATTTGCCAGACAACTAGCACGTTTTTAATCTTTGATTCTCTTATACTCCCCCTTCCGCCTTTTTTTTCCCCCCTTCTGGAATTAGATAATGTAGATTTGAAGAAAAAAAATTTAAGAAATAGCATACCACATAAGAGGGGTGTTAAATTTTTAGGATATTTAAAATATTTTTATAATAAATAGAGTGTGTCTGTTTAAGTGAATCCAACGTTAGAAGCGCTATAAAAATACTTGAAATTCAGTTTTAAATAATAAAACAGAATGCAAACAACATCCACTACAAAACAAATGCAAAGAGTAAAAGGATGAAGAGCTAGCAAACAATAATTTACTCTGTTTTAACTCTATTCACTTGAACCTGTTTTCAATTTCTAAAAGGGTAATGCGTTCTTTTCCTATTGTCCCCAAGTTTAAATTAGTCACCTGCGAGTCATCACAGTGAAGACTCTTCTCTTTGGAGATATCTCACCTTTATAAACTATCTAAGAGACACCTTATCCTTACAATTTAAAAAATGTTTGAAAAGGATTTTAGCTCAACAAATTTCAAAGTTGATTTCTGATGGATTTCTCGTAATTGTGGTTGAAAATAGGCTCAAGTGAACAGGGTTAAAACAGAGAGGATCACTGGTTGCAAGCTCTTGATCCTTTAACTCTTTATATTTGTAGCGGCTTTTGTTTGCATTCTATTTTATTATTTAAAGCTGAATTTCAAGTATTTATAGCTTTAACTTCAAAATTACCTTCTAGAAATCCTATTCTAGCTTCTAAATTGTGGAAATCGTTCAAGTATTTTTGCCAATAAGATTCTAACATTGGATTTACTTCAACAAAGAAACTCTATTTATTATAAAAACATTTTAAATATTCTACAACTTTAACATCCCTCTTGGGTGGCATTCTATTTCTTACATTTATTTCTTCGAATTTACATGATCTAATGAGAGAATCAAAAATTAAAAACACGCTAGTTGCCTGGCAAATCAGCAACCTTTTATTTCATCATTCAGCACTTACTAGTTTACAACTACTATCCAGTTCATGTGATCCCTTTGAATTGTATGGAATCTCAAGTCCCTTCGATCGTATTAAGGGCTGAGATTTCATACGAGACCAGACTGAAACCTTTTTGGACTCTAAAAACTAAAAAGCAACACTGAAATCCTCCCGAAGATTGCATTTAAGGGATGAGATTTTAGACAAGACAAGACTAAAATCCTCGTATCGAATCCCAACAGACTGAAATGAATCCTCCCCCGCATTGGATTGGATGAACAAGACTTAAACTCCTGTGAATCCCAACCCAACTTTCACGGCCTTTTGTGGCTGAATAGTTATAAATATATCAAACAGCAAAGTGAAATGTTTATACCCAATTAAGCCTTAGGTGCAAAAATCTCCATCAAAGAAGACCAAGTTCCTGAGATTGCCACAATGCATCCGAAAACAACAATTGCACCATTACAGATCTTAGATCTCCAACCCAACTCATTTTTGAATGCCAGATAATAGAACATGGCAGGCAATATAAAGCTTAGCACAACACACACACTGCTTCCTACTAGTGACAGAAAATCCGCAAAATTTGGCACCAAAAGAGCCACCAAGCTTACCCCTAATACCATCAACCACCTCAGCCACAAGCAGTACCTAGAATCACACAGCCTTCTTTCCACAACTTCATAAACAGGGTTCATCATCAATGGAAAAGTGAAGAACAGGTTGATAGAGAGTCCCAATTGAACCAGAGTGCTCACGAGTCCTGGTCCCAGATTGGTAGTGATGATATCTTTGGTTTCATTCCCAAAAGCAAAGTAACCAAGAGCGCCAAATGCTCCAAACAGGAGAGAAATCACTGTCATACCCAAACCTAGGATCCTTCCAAAATTCTGTTTGTCCTTGGCTTCTGATTCCAAAGGCAAAATCATTCCAATTCCTTCGAAAGCATACACTGCCACACCAACACCATAGAAGAATACCGAAACGCTACCAAATGCTTCTAAAGCGTGCCTGTTCTTCATAAACACAAACACATCCTCCACCATAACTATACTCTTCGCTGCTATATCGACCACATCAGCGAATATGCTAAGAGGAGCCAGGTGGGTCAAAGTTCGAATGGAATTCAACCCCAATTGAAACGGAAAGCAACCCCAGAGGAATAGGACTTTCGGGGATAAACCCAAAATCGGGGATGTTGGTGTGTTATGGCTTACTAAATGTGCCATAGTATTGGAAATGAAGATTAGGTAGCTCACGCAGAACCCAGCTTGAGAAAGGACGATCATGGCGTCGACGGAGAATCTGCCGATGGGACCACAGATGGCGAAGCCGAGATCGCCGAATGAGTTGATTTTGGAGAAACCCGTGATCGATTCGAGCCTACGGCGAGTGTAGACCAGAAGCATCATGCAGTGATAGGTGAGAAAAGCGACGGTGAAAAGCATGAGTAAGCCCAGGACCCATCCCGTTCGCTTGAAGCAATAGGGAAGACCAAGGACACCAGCACCTACAATGGCGATGAAGATGTTGGCGAAGGTCTTGAAGTTGGAGGAAAGAGGAGGAGATTTGGTGAGAAGAGGAGTGTCTTCTCGTGGGTACGGTGGTAAAGAGTAGGACGATGAACTTGCTTGATTCTCAAACCCCATTGGCTTGAATTTCTGGGCTGGCTAGTTGTAATTACACGAATGGCGGCTGCTTTTGATTGTTCAATGTTCAATCCGGAGAAAGTGAGTGGGGATCGACAGGGGAAAAAAACGGATTGGAGCTGGGAATCAAATTTGGAGCAGGAAACAAACAGAGAGATGATCGCCGTTGGAGGAGAGGGAGAGGAAGATTGAGATGAGAGATAATCTCGTGTGGGGCGTGATCTGATCACGTTCCGAGTCAGAGGAAGCAAATATAAAGTTGGATTAGTTGGAAAAAAAATAATAATGAAGTTCGATTATTGGTTGAACTTTGAAATAGAAAACGACAAGATATCTAGATGAACATATATATATATATATGATGATAACTTCTTTTCTTTTTTTGAAAACACATGTTATGATAAATGACAGCAAGGCCCAAGTTGTGGACAAGTTGGGGACCAGTTGTCAATTAAAATATAAAATTTCACAAATTGCTCTCGCCTGTCCCTTCTCCCTTTAATTAGGAAACAAATAAATAGTAATTGATTCTCAAAACCAAAAAAAACCATTTTTTTTAAATTTCTTCATTTAATAATTAATCTTATTAATAAATACTCCCTTTTAATGAGAGTATAAATAGGGAGGAATAGGATAAAAAATACCCTCAAAATAGTCTCTTGTAAAATAGACTTCTTTATGTGAAAAATAAAAAATGGACCAAATAATGTGTAACCGTGAAACCTCTTCTCCACTCATCACAGTATCTTCTTTCTCTTTCCGTCCCACCAATATTATTTTAGGGGAAAAAATCACCATCATCAGTGCCAGTTAATGTAAATTATAAAAAAGTATGTCAGAAAGCTACATTATTCATAAATAATAAATTATATAATTTATTTTGCAAATATATCAAACACCTAACTTATAAGTACGTAGATAAAAATATTAAAAACCGATGGTCATGGGAGAGTATGTTTTTTTATTATATAATTATAAAATAATGTTTATCTTTAATTTTAAGAAGGAGTCTTTAAACACGGGACAATTAAACGGTGAAAATTTCAAATTTTCTAGAGATTTATTAAATCCTATATTAAAAAAAAAAAGAGTCCAATTTGAAAATGAAAAGGAAAGAGACATTCTCTGCCAATAGATATCTTCAGAGGATCTTAATTAGTCAATGCTTTATCTAACATTTTGATTGGCCCTTTAATTTTTCTTATTTAAGAAAATGAGATTTAAGGAAGCTAAGCACATAAACTATATAACCACGCTTCTAAGCCTTTCAAAATTAAAACTTCCGTAAGGAATCAAAGTTGTTAGCAATTTAGCGTACTTATGCTTTCAGATTACTGTAACCAATGCTTTTCAAAGTCATCACCCGTGATTCTTAAAATTATAAATTCAAAATATTTATGATATTTCAAAACTCAAGTTATAATTTATTAAAAAAGTTACATTATTTGTAACTTATTATTAATAGAATAGAATGGGCAAGCCAGACCATACTTATGAAACTGACTCATTAATTTATCCCTTAAAATTATAGGATTTAAGTTTTGAAAATCCAGTGTAAAATAAAAATATGATTTAGCCCAATTTAAGTATTGTAATTAATTTTAGGTTAAATGAGATCAGATTAATATTGACAGGTTTGTCATTATGCTAGCAAGTTGAGGATGCTTAAATCATCAATTAGTATCCTAATTTCCTAAAACTTTCTATTCCTATTCCTTAAAATAATTAAATGGACGGATGCTGTTGTTTCTGACTTCAATTTCTATCAAAAGCTTCTCTATCTTCTTAAGACTTTCTCTCTTACTACCAATATAATGCGAATTCCTCTTTTCAGTTTTATTAATTATCTAAAAAAATTATTTCAAGATGCTAAACCCCCTTAAAAAATACTACCTCATATCCTTAATATAAGACCTTATTTGATTTTTATTTTGATCCTAAATATAAGATGTCAATCCATTTTGTCTCTCATATTTATATATTTTTTTCTAAGATAGTCTTTCTAACAATAGTAGTTCTAGCTAATACACTTGATTAGCAAGGATATTTTAGGAAAACCAACATCTATTTATTACTATCTTCGGTCCTAATTATATGACCCGGTTGACTAATTTGGGAAGATTAAGGAATTTAATTAAGTTAGTTATTTATAATGAATGAATATTGTTTTTTCCTAAAATATTCTTGCTAATCAAGTTTGTTATCTAAAACTACCATTATTAAAGGACTATCTTGGAAAAAAAATGGATAAATATGAGAGATAAAGTAGATAGAAGTCTTATATTTAGAACCAAAGTAAAAGTCAAACAAACTCTTATATTAAGAACCAGAAATAGAACAAATAATAACTTAACTTCTTTCTTTAATCTCCTCAAATTAGTCAACAAACTCTTATAATTAAGACCGGAGGTAGTGTTTCGTGATGTTGGATGTATCTAAGAAAATATGTCGATGTGTTTTAATCCTTTTCATGAGAGCATAATTTCACATAGGCCACAAATACATCAGACTAAATAAGAAACGTTTACAATTAATATTAACATTTTTATAATACTTTTTCATAAAAGATTAATTGCCCATCGTCCAAGAACTCCAAATTATTCGCCCCAAAGGGATTGAATGAATGTCTCTTTCTTACAGGCGACTCCTCCTTTCTGCTATCCCATTCATATTTTATTCTTTTGGGGCCGATAGCATATCTCCAGTTTTGCACCAACTACTCTCACGGCTTTAATTGCTATGACACAGAAAAAATAATAAAATTTTAAGAGTCGAGGAAAAATCTCCAAAAATATGTTTTTAAATTTTCAAAATTTTAAATTAAAAAAATTATAAAAATGTGTTGTTATTTATTTTTCAAATATAGTTAATTGTTATTAAAGTATAATAAAAAATACTGATTTAAAATTTTGAGATTTAAAGATTTTTTTTGGGGAATTCTCCCTGAAATTTATACAAAATTATAATATTTATAATTTCAAATTTATAAATGGGATAGTTTTACCCCCTTAGTTCTCCTAGATAAATAAAATGGGTGACTTGAATTGTGAATAATATTTTTAAGATTATGCTTATTGTTTGCATGCGTGAGCTAAATAATCGAATGATTTCACTGTGTATTATTTAAAATGAAATATTGAATCAAATAATAAAATTTATCACACGTGACTACGTAATGTATGATATGTGGATCCAGATTTGTGCTTCTTTTTTTTTTCTTAATAAATTTTAAAAAAATTCAAGGGGAAATATTATAATTTTATGTTATTAGACTCGCACATGTGACGACTGACGAGCCACCTGCCGTTTTTGCCCGTTCACAGCTTTGCTCTCTCCGGGCCACAGCCAATGTCGTTTAGTAATCATCCCCACCGCCACAAAAGAAAAAGACGAAAAACGACATGTGTTGGTGCGTGTACGGTAAGCTACAGAGAGAACACAAGCGAGACGTGTTTTATGCGTGCTGAAAAATTGGATTAAAATAGCTTAAAATATTTTCTTGTTCAATTTTAAAACCTGGTCAAGAAGATATTATGTCTATTAAAATTTTTAGGGAAAACTATATTGAAGGTACCTATACTTTCTCTCAATTTTTAATTTGGTACCTATGTGTTTTTTTCTTTTTAATTAAACATTTAATTTTATCTTTTTAGCAACATTAGCTCTTATAACTTTGTTCTATTGATATTTTTAGTCTCTACATAAGGATTAATGATGTTAATAGAGCAAAATTAAAGATTTAGTTAAGAACAAAAAACACATAAGTACCAAATTAAAAATTAAAAAAAATATAAGTACCTCTAATATGGTTTTTCCAAATTTTTAAATAAGAACAGAAATAAAATTTTTTATAAACTGTGTTAATACATATCATTATATATAAACACGGCTTATAAATGATACTCCCTCCGTTCTTTATTATAAGAGACATTTGATGTTTATGGCATGTTCCCATATATAAGAGACAATTAAAAGTTGTCTCTATTTTTTTGTATTGATTTTCTATTTTACTCCTATTTATTTTGTCTCCAACTCATACTCTCTCTCCCTCTCACTTCTCTTTCTTTTAATAATTTAATTATTCTCTCTCATACTCTCTCTCCTTATTAATGGGGGCATTGTTGGAAAAAACATTATACTTTTTACACATTAATTCTCCTCAACTAATTTTAACTATTTTTTTGATCAACGTAATTTGGTTATTTGTCTCTTATAATAAGAAACAGACGGAGTAAAAAATAATGCGATGGATTGGCTCGGTCAAAGCAGATCACATCAGACGCCTTTATGGACGATCGGAAATGATGGATGTTTCCAGCCACACAGCTTGAAAATTGTGGACCTCATCATTGATACGCAGATATTTGGATTAAAACCAAATCATAATTTTAAAAATAATTTTATGATATATGTGAGAGGAGTTTTATCTTAATTTAAATAATTTTTTTTAAAGTATTTTTTTAAGATGCTAAACACCCCGATAATTGTTTGATTCTTTGTTAATTTTATAATATTTTATTATGCTTTAAATTATAAAATCATTTACGTTGATATGCCTTTTTATATCTTCAAGTTGATATGTTGATATATATATAGAGAGATATATATATATATATATATCCCTATATATGTTTTGGCATAAGATAAACGAGTTAAGAAAAGGAACAATATTATAAATGTTAAAATATGTTACATGTAAAAGTATAGTATCTGTGTTTGGACGACGTTATTTGATATAAGTCTAGTTTTAGGGGGACAACAAATTAAAATTAATCAGAAAAATCCCCACCATTTGTAAATAAAAACAACTATGTACAAGAAAATATCTGAGTGAAGAAGCATCTAATAATAACAACACAAAAGAGAATTGGATCAAGAGAGTACGCCCTTAAGAAGATCCAAGCCTTCAGCCGAAATGCTCCTCCTCTTGTGCAGCACAGGAACCTGAAGCTTAGGAGGAGGATGTTGTGAGAAACAGACAACAACAACAGTTAGATTGTCGCATGTATTACGTTGTAACGCTTCAGTTACCAGTGCTTTCGCACACCTCGCCGGATCATTGTGCTGCATCAGTTCCTTCCTCACCGTCGTAACAGCACACTGGCTGCTCATCACGTCCCATAATCCATCACAACCCATTATTAAGTACTCGTCCTCTTGTGTTAAAACCACCTCTTCAAGCTCTGGCTCTGAGATTAATGGGCTCTTTGATCCTTTCGAGCCTTTGATGTGCCAGTCTCCTAGTGCTCTCGCCACCGACAGTTGGCCGTTGAGATATCCGTCGTAGATTACGCCGCCCAGTTTCTCTATTCTTAGTCTCTCCGACGTGCAGTTTGGCTTGTGATCCTTGGACAGTTCAACGGCTCTCCCTCGTTTTCCCAACACAGCTCTAGAATCGCCTATATTGGCTATTAGCATACTTCTGCGTGCCACAATATATACGGAGACAACAATGATATACAAGTATATATCAAAGAACTAATATGAGAACTTATCTTAACCTCCCTCTTGGTCAGAACTACTCCACAATTCTTTACATATCAATTCATTGTGATCTTAACCAACTATAAGATCACATACTACGTCTAATTGGTTACACACACACACACACACGTACAATGTGGTTGTTATATATACATATATTGATTACCTTCCCATCATGAAAGCTATTAAAGCAGTGGTGCCTGAAGATCTATCGAGAGAAATGGCATCGGCTAGGGCGTGATCAACCTTCACAAAGGCACTCTTGATCGCCTTTTGGATGCTGCAAGGGAAGTGCGAGTCTGTGGTGATAAACTTGAGGATGTTCTTTCTCGTAAATAATGCTGCATCCGTGCCTCCGTGCCCATCAAATATCTGTATTCATCACTATTCATGTTAATAATAACAATAGATTTTCATTAATCAATATATATATATATGCGTGTGTGTGAAGAGACCGAATGATCTAACCCCGTAAAAAGCGCCAGGAGAAGGAAGGTGATGAGTTGCAGGAGGAAGGTTTTCATGGAGAGTATCGACAGCGATGAACTCATCCTCCATGTACTGCTTGGGTCCTTTCTCAGAACAGCTTCCCGATCGAAACACAGGTGAGAACTCCGATTTGTCCTCCGTCGTCGTCGTCGTCGTCGTCGGTGTTTTCATCAAGTCTACCCTCACAATATCTGCTTCCTAGACACAGCGCACACACGGACAATCCAATCCAACTCATATAATCCATAATCATTGTTTATTACTTTTGATTCTCAGCCGAACAAAGAAAAGGTCAGAGATAGGAAGAAGAGACAAACCGAATCGGCGAGTAAGGTAGAGCTAGTGCAATGACGCACGGAGGAAACATCTCTAGGAGGCTTCCCAGTGGCAGTACTATTGTTACAACAATGGTTTAAATTGTCCAAGGTGTCGCCATTAGAATCCTCCATGATTGCACCTCCGCCACTTTTCATCGTCGTCGGCGTCTGACGAGGCAAGAGATCAGTGCCGGCAGGAGCCATGATCCTTTTCCCATATATGAGACCCTCACGTACAGATAATATGACTGATACAAGTGAGTAGATGAGATATGTTGAAGAAGGAGGAGGAGGAGAAATGTGTTTGGTTATTAGGTTATCGCGAGTTTGGATCGAGAGAAACAAAGAGAAAGGGTAAAGAGTTATAATTAAGAATGGGAGTGGCAGGTTTGACGGAAAGAGTGACGCGTGGTTCTGTTCACTACTTTAGCGGATGCCCCTTGTGGTACCCAGTTACTGCATTGTGCACGCAGCTCTCAGCTTCTCTACCACCTCTCTTCATCACACGCTTTCTATTTATTCCTTTCTTTTCTATTTTCAGCTTTCACTATTCATCATCATATAATGCGGCCATGTGTGTGTGCACTAATATATATATGTGTGTGTATGTGTGTGCGCCTAATTGTGTTGAAATATATATATATATATATATATTGTGTCAAGTTTTAATTACTTCCCCTTTGGATTCTTCTGTGTTACAATTTCGTCCTGCGTACCGAGTTATGATTTGATCTCGGTTCTGTGTTTCGCCTTGGATTATTACGTCCCAGTATCTTTTAGAAACTGATATGTACTCGGCGAATTTTGTGTGGCTTGAACGAACGTTTGTGGGAGAGACGTATATATACAAACAGGGAGAATTACTATAAGCTCAAAAAATATATATATATATATATAACTGTTAAAAGATTTTAATGACAAGTGAATGATTCTAATATTTTGTTTTATATTCTCAAACTTGTCATTACAGCTTGCTCAATTGTTATGGGATTTTTTTAATAATTATCTTCCTTTCTTAAAAACTAAGAATTTCTCCCATGTGTGATGTATAAACTAGAATATTTGATTAGATTTTAAATTCTAATCAAAATTCACTTCTTATATGAGTATAATTTTTTTTATTCATTTAAATGGGATTTGAATTAGATATGCAGAATTTAGAAAGAACATATGAAAATTTAAAATTAATTAATTAATTTTCTATTTTAAGTCCCTAATTGACATGCTATTTAACTATGATGTTTTTTTATTTAATTCAATATATTCAAATTCTAATTAAAATATTATTTAAATTCAAAATTAATTATTAATTTTTTCATTTGAGTTTCGTACTGAAATCTCATATATAATAATGATGTTCTTATTTAATTCAATATACTCAAATCTCAATCAAAATATTATTCAAATCTTATTAATTGAATATATTCGAATTTCATTATGTCATACCTGGCCCATGTTTAAACAAATTGAGTATTATAAGTTTTTAAGAATATAGTTGATGATTGATTGATACTTGATAATTGATGATTGATTAATTGATAGTTGATGATTGATTTATATCAATTCTTGTATGAGAAGAATGACACAAGTGGACTTAATCGTTTTCAATATTACAAATTTTTCAAATGATATACACAGAAACAAAAACTTTAAGAAAAAGTAATTGATGGACGAAAGGGCCTATACTTCAATGACACATAATTATATTGGAAATGGCAAAAGATGAGTCGCAAATCACGGAAGTTTTCCATAGATTATAAGTTTCTTTAACTCTCCAATATGTATGTCCTCAGAAGTCAGAAATACGTCAGTGATATGGATATAATAAAGAAACGAATATTAACACATAATTTTATTTTATTTTTGTTTATTACTTGTTGTGAGTATTTTTTTTTATTTTCATGTTTGAGATCTTATATTAAAACAAAATTAAATGTCAAACTCCTGTGCAGGTGGGTGAGTGTGCGTGTGTGTCTCACTTGTGAGATTTAACCTAATGCAAAAGCTAAAAAGCCATTTGAGTAATGAGGATCGATGCATTGGGTGCATATTAAATTTTCTCATATCTTATCTCTTAAAACGTTTTTCCCAGGAAAAAGAACTCTTTCTTTAAGGTGTGTTGTGCTAAGTACACACACACACACGCATCCAACTGCCATCGTCAAAACTTGATGCTTATTATCTCAAATAGGAACGCTTCTAAGTTTGCCGTTTTCTATAAGATCTTTTTGGCCCTCATGTCCTTATTATCAAGGAACAAAAAACCGGACCGGATATTGAACCGGTTGAGGAAGTGGGTTAAGGGTTAATGGGTTAGACCGAGATCGGACCGAATTAAACCGGTCATATTAAAATAATATAATTTAATTGATAATAACAAAACATAACAATATTAATAATCATTTGTAACAAAATATGAGAAAATAAAATAATAATTTAGTTACAACAAATAACAAAATAACTGAAAATATTATATTTGATATAAAAATATTGGATTATAAAAATTTTTAAATCAAAATAATATTTAAAAATATGCCTAGATGGCATAAGGATTGCATGTGTAATATATTAAAAAAAAACTCATTGGTCTCTTTTTCCTTTGCCGGATGTTCTTTTATATATATATATATATATATTATTACATAATATTCTATCTACATGTCATGAAAGAAAAAAAATTAAATCAAATATCAAGTTTTGGAAAGACGTTCTTTTTTTTTAATATATTATTACATAATATTCTATTTACATATCGTGAGAGAGAAAAAAAAACAAATCAAATATCAGGCTTTGGTAAAACGAAAAAGGGAGAGAAAAAGTTACTCTAAGTCTGCAAAATAGTACCTATACATACATAGGGTCATTAACACTCTGCACCAACCTTTTCAGTTTTCACTTTGATATTATCCAAGACCAAGACATTCGTTCTCCTTTCTCTCTCTTTTTTTTAGAATTCTGCTCTAGCATTTTCCTCTTCTTCCTTCGCCTCTCTCCGGAAAACTCACCAGCTCTCTCTGAAAAAATCACTTCTTCGGTGGATTTCAGTAAAGCAAAACACAGCACAGAGGTGGCTCTCTACGGAAACAATCAGCAAGCTACTCTCCTTTTCTGTCTCTCCCTCTGGTCCTGGTCTTCCTCCTCCTTGCTTTCATACGTTTTTGTCAAACTTGAAATGTTTTACTGTCACTCTCCTCCTTTTTCTCTTCTTCCTCTCTGGGACATGAAAAAAAGAAAAAAACCGGGCAACCCACTTCAACCAGCGGTTACCCAGTTTAAAACTGGTTTTAACCGGTTTAACCGGTTTGTTACCGGTTCATTTCATATCCGGTCTAATAAGCAAACCAGACCGGACTGAAGACCGGTTCACCGGTTTTCCGGTTGAACCGGCCGGTCCGATCTGGTTTTTTTTACCTTGCTTATTATACAAGCGGTTGGTTTGAGTAGAAGATTAATTAAATATTCCCTCGTGGCCTTATTAGGCAAATCTAATGCCTATTTATATTTTGGCCCCCAAAAAAAAACCTATTTATATAAATTATTGAAATTAGTTAGGATTAGTTATTTCTTTTAAAATTTCAAACCTACCCTGAATAGAAAGTTATTAGTTAGGAGATAGGGTACTGGATAGAAAAAATTAATACTTCAAACAAATCATGGTATTAATAAATAGGGGTTTCGAATTAATGAAATTTAATACTACACACACACACTATATGCCATATTTATATATGGATCAACGCACAGTGGAATTAAAGCAAACATGGAGATCGTTGAACAAACGAAAGTACCATAATACAAGCATTATCATAGAGGTTTGTTTCATATCTCCAACGCATTACACACACACACACATATGGTGAACCACGAGGCACCAAGCACTAAGATACTATAGATTAAGACATGTGATCACACTAAAGCACTAATTAATTATTGCTATACTCAAGAGTTCTTCAATGCCAAGAATATAAGCTAGTTAAGAGCTTAATTATGATGATGAATTTGATGATAATCAAGATCAACTTCGACCAAACCAAATCGATAAGGGATGATTCGTTCTTGGAATATATAAAGATTTTACATTAATGGAGCATTATTTAATTAAGATATTCTAAATAAATTTATCATTCTTAAAGTGGTCAATAGTTGTTACTTGTTAGTTCATCATAGAGGTACAAGTGGAAGCTATATCGATCCTTTCATAAGACCTTCAATGGTCTGTATCAAAAGAGGAAAAAGAAGGGTTATAAAATTAAAGACAAGAGGAAAAAGAAGTGTGAGATTTTGGCCTATCTAGAATGTAGATTATTATTTCCAATGTCCACACGGAATCCGATTGTAACGTCCCAAGTTTTATCGGGTTTTAATAGCCTCTTTTTGGTTGATTTTGAGGATAGATTAGTGATTTAACCTTGATCTTGGTGTTTGGCTTGGGATTGAGGTATGTTGAAGGAATAGGTGAACAATCCCTCTCAGGGTTTGTTCACCGCGACGAATCGGGAGTTCCAGGGGGAATGTCCTTTCGGGAAGGTTTCGCCGCGGCGAAGTCAGGTTTTCAGGCGAGTAATCCCTCTCGGGATTAGTTCACTACGGCGAAGGGGGTCGAATCTATATAGTCGCGGGAAGGGTCAGATGTGCAAAAATTAGAAAATCTGAAGGAAGAGAGAGAGGCTCTGTTAGGGTTTTGAATTTTTGGCTTAGAGGGGGCATTTCTAAGGATCCATTACCTCAAGTAAGTGATTTTAACCTTTAATCTACTTTCTTTCTTGGAATTTCTGAGGATTTATGGTGAAACCCTAGAGTTCTCTAGGTTGTGATAGAATTGAAGTTTTTGACAGATTGTTTTGGGTTTAATTGATTGCTTTCGGTTAGTCTAAGTATTTAATCGGTTTAGTTTTCTTGGATTTAAAGAACTTTGAGTTTTTGAAGTTAGGGTTTATGAAAATGGAAGGTTTGTGATTGAGGATGATAATGTGGAGGTTGATTTTGAGTTTTGTGATTTGGGTTATGTTAAGGAGGGTTAAATTGGATGTTTAATCGGTTTAGAATGTTGTTAAGACTTCAAATTGTTCAAA